TTTCCAACACCAAGTCCAATGTCACACTGACTTGCTGTAGTTTGGCAGGCTAGCAAGTAATTTAAAAACTTGCATCTGGCCCCCGGGAGGATGCAGCACCGTCTGACAGTAGGGAGGATCAGCCCCACAAAGGTATGGAAAAGCTATGAATCAGGGTCAAAAACAACACTGCACTTTGAACTAATTAGTAAAAACCTCCAGTTTCTTTCAAAGAGAGGAGTGTGGGCCAGCCATAATGGCCTGTAAGAGCATAGCTTTGAATTGGATTGCCTTTGCTCTGGAGGCACTGATTAAGAAGGGAACGACTTGCCCAAAAAAATTTAAGAAACCATAAGGATCAGCTTCTGGTCAGTGTCCAGCAGACTGGACGTTGGCTATTCCCTTTACATATGTCAGTTGTGAATAATTTTGCAGCAATAATAAGACCTCATCTTTCTCTGGCTAACAATCTCTACATTTTCCTTCTGCTAAGCAGGCATGAGCTAATGGGCTAATTCCAGCATGCAGAACAGTTAGCCAGGAAAATGAACACCCGTACTGTCAAAGAAGGTAAGGACATCTTCCTCGGTGCACGAGAACGGGAATCCCTCTGCCCTGACGAGGTAGACAGTGTCGCTCTCCGCCTTGGCTGCGGCGGGCTTCTCCTCTGAGAGGCGACCTTCGTGGGACGGAGCATCCGTGACCTGGCGCGGACACAGGAGAACAGCCCCGGCTGAGCGGCTGGCGGCCGCGCTTCCCGCGGGGCTCGGTGCCCGCCATTTTCCGTACCTGGCTGTAGGCGCGGCGGGCGGCGCGGAGCGGGGCCGGGCCCGGCAGCAGCAGCAGCGGGGCCGGGGCGGGCCGCATCGTGAGGGGCGGGATGCGCCGGGCCGGGCAGGCGCAGCGCGGGCGGCAGCGCCGGGCCCCGGCCCAGCAGCAGCGCGGACAGAGCGCGGCGGGCGGCGGCGACCGCGGCCATGCCGGGGATCGCGGCTCCGCCCCTACGACCGCCCTCCCTCCCTCCCTTCCTTCCTTCCTTCCTTCCCGGCAGGCGCTGCACGGGAAGCGCTTTCCGGGCACCGCCGGCTGCCCCCGGGGCTGGGGGTGCTCTGCCTGCCCTGCGGCTGCCGGGACGGTGTCACCGCGGGCTTGTCCTGACACAGAGCTTGGCTTGGAACAGCCTGGCTTGGAACGGAACTTAAAGATCATCCCGTTCCACCCCTGCCATGGGCAGGGACAAGTACCACTAGACCGGGTTCCTCCCATCCCCGTCCATCCTGGAGATGAACACTTCCAGGGATCGGGCAGCCACATCTGTGCCAGGGCCTCGCAGAGAAGGATTTCTTCCCAATATCCCATCTGACCCTGCCTTCTGTCAGTGGGAAGCCATTCCCCCTTGTCCTGTCTCTCCAGGCCCTTGTGAGTAGTCTCCATCTCTCTTGCAGGCTCCCTTCGGGAAGTCTGCCATTGGGTCACCCTGAAGATTTTCTTTTCTAGGCTGAAAACATCCTAATTCTCCCAGCTTTTTCTCGCAGCAGGGGTGCTCCCTCCCTATGCTGACCTTGGTGGCCCCCTCTGGACTTGTTCCGAGGGGCCAATGTCCTCTCAGTGCCGAGAACCCCAGGGCTGGATGCAGCATTCCAGGTGGGGTCTCACCTAAGCAGGGCAGAGGGGAGGAATCCCCTCGGGGGGATGAGCCCAAGGCACAGATGGATTCTTGCAATACGAAGTTTTAGGCTGGGCTTCATCACTGACAAGCCTTTCACAGCCCTCCCCTGGAGACTGATTTTCCAGGAGAGATGATTTTCTGCCCCTCACTCCCATCCCTGCTGGAAGGTCTCAACAGGCAGAACCTGTTGGTGAAGAATATTCCCCTTCCAGGTGGTCTGGGAAGACAGTCCTGCTGTCATTGCTGCACCCAAGAGGGATCAGGGGGAAAGAGCTTGCACCGGCCTCTCCTAAGTGCACACATGAGGAAGGTGTGTCCTGATGAACCCAGAAAATAATTTTTAGGATGAAGCAAAATGAGTAGGAAAAGGCAAGCTGGAATCCCAAACACCAATGGCGGGGGAACCCAGGGTGGGAATGTGGAGGCTCAGATGCAGGGTATTCAGGCAGGTATCCAGGAGGAAGATGGGCCAGGCTTGGTCAGGAAGACCAGGAGAGCCACGACAGCCAGGATACTCCTCTTTCCCAGCACCCTGCAGCTGTAGCCTGAAATTGCAAGTAAGAGTTGCAATTTCAAGGCACTGCAGACTACCAAACCCAAAAGACAACCCTGGGTTTTCCAGCACAACTCTTCCACCTTGCTGTGCTGCCAACACACTCATCTATCAGAAGCCTTGAACGCTCCTTACAGCACTTTGAAAATGAGAACAAGCTGCTTTATGCCACCCTCTTGTTGCTGGCTGCTGCTTCTGTAAAGTGTTCCTTTCACGTGACCCTGAGAACAGCACAGCCTCCTGACAGCAGCACTCTCAGCCCTTCTGGGTTTTCAAGGCAAATCACGTTTTATGCACGTTTTCAAAGGAATGCTGACCTCGGTGCCCAAGTGGTTCACATTCCAGTCTTTCCTGGCCTACTTGCCAGGTTTCTCTTCAAAACCTTCTTTCAATAAGTAGGCAAATGTTATAGGAGAAAAAAAAATTAAGATAGCCATAGGAATTCATCTTGAGCACTTATCTCTATCTGGATTGGCTTTTGTGCTTTCAGTTTAACCAAATAAGCAAATCCCCAAATCTTAGGGACCGAGGGAATGTTAGGGGCATTCTCCTGTGAGCCAAGCAGGCTGCAGGGAAAAATCTCTTGAAAGGATGCACATCTTCCACCCATTTTTCCTTTCATTTGCTTGCTTGCTTCCCAAGTACAGGTAAAAACACCCACTGCTGCTTGTCTGGCAGCTTGTCAAGTTTGTGAGACTTACCTTTTGAGGGCACCGTGTTGTTGGGCAACTGCTGGCACAGAGGTTTCCATGGAATCTCAGAGCTTCCCTAGTTACATGTCAGATCAGAGTCTCTGCACCTATGGGAGAATATAAAGGTCATCCTAGGACAAGAGAATTTGCATTTATTCACTCGACAGAACTGCTGTGGAGTGAAGTTGCTTTAGGAGAGGGAATCTGCCTCTGTAAAAACAGCAGATCTCAGGAGACGCCTCCATACTGCTGTGGACCAAGAATTTATCTGCCTTGGAGAATATATCTACCTGGCAGGATGCCTTCTTCTGAAAGTATGTTAAACAGGTTGTTGTTAAGAACACCAGCTATTCTTTGCTCTGATCAGACAAAAAATGACGATCGGAAAATCATCAGATGTGATGCTAAGACAAGTGGTTACACTGGGAAGCATTCCTTATCCCTCTGTGTCATCTGCTCTCAAGAAAAATTGACCTTCTGTTCTGTTGTAGTATTTCCCAATATTATTCACAAGCTGTGTTCTTTTTCAAAACAAAATGCTGTTTCCCTTTTTTTTGTTGTTGTTTTTTTGTTTGTTTGTTTTTATTCCCGATACTCTATACATGCTCAGTTTTGCGATCTCACTTTCTTTACGCCCCTTTCAGCTGGATCGCTCTGTGTTTACCGAGCTGTGCTGAGAAGCCGAGAACTTCAGCCCAGGACCGAAGCACTTTGCCAGCCCGAGGGCCCTTCCGCAGGGATTCCGGAGGCTCTGCAGCGCGCTGGATAAAGGGAGATGACAGAGGCGAGGCCAGGGCTGTGCTCCCCCTTACGTAAGGGCCGAGGAGAGCCCTTAATGTGACCCTCAGCCATGCCCACCAGCCCAATATTCATGTGAGACATAAAGCCTGCACGTTACATAAGCCTCTCCCCTGGCCAAGGGCTTCCTACTGCAGCAACCGAGGTTTAATTTTAACTTGCCGCTAAAAAGTGAGACGTTCTGTGGGTAGGAGGAAGCGTGGGGGTGGGAACAGAGGTTACTCGTGTGCCAACAGGAATGTGCCAGAAAGATCAGTGATGTATTTCTGTTTGATTTACGTGGCCAGCATAAGTCTGACAGCATCTGTGACAAAGTGCTCCAGGACCCATTCAACGCTTTGGCTAATGCAGCCAAAAGGAGAACTGCAAACCTCGTGAAATGCTTGTTAATTACTGCCCAGTAACACGCTGGGTTTTAAAGGCGTCCTAAAAACAACAGTGCAGTTTTAATTTACTTAGAAATGCACTGACCTGGCATTTTGACTTAGTCTGAAGGACAGAGTGGAAAATGCTGTTTCAGCATTTAAAAATGTGAGGGAGGCAGATGACTGTCAATGTGGCCACCTAAGGCGTTAAGAGCTGAAACCCCTGACGTGCCAGATGGAAAGTTAGTGTTGTGTGGGATTGTAGCCTGTTTCGATGTGCCAAATTTTCCTGATAAATCTGAAATTCAACAGGTTTTCCTCTGGCCTACCAGTGTGAGGTTTTTGGGATGGCCAATTCCCCTTGCAGCAGGAGGGAATTCCTGGAGGTCATGCTGCCCGCCCTGCGCCCTCTCCGAAATCTGGCTTCTTACTGACCTAAACAGCCAGATTTTTGTGTGAAAATTATACCCTGGGATTGCAATTTTTACCATAAAGAGCACTGGGATGTGACTACATCTGCCTGCTAAGGGTTTCTTAAAAAAACTGCAGTGTTTTTACCTCAGAAGTTCATTTTTTTTTTACCTCAGCCACCCATAGGGTCACCTGAGGGGTGCCCCTCCTTTGCCCGCCGCTTACCCTCACCAGCCCACTTAGAAATTGTTAACAAATATTAAGAAATATTACAATCCCTTTTGTCACGTTTGGCTAAAAAAGGGTTCGATGAGGAGGGCAGCAACGCCGTTAACACCTTTTTGTTATTTTCCTGGTGGTGGTGGTGACCTGTGAGCCGGTACCTGGCCCCTTGTCCTGAGGGGAGAAGGGGGGCTCGGGAGGGCGGGGGATGCCCGTTTCCATGGAGGTGTCTGGGGGCACCCAACACGGGCTTCTCTGAGGGGCCGGCACGGCGGGCATGGAGGTGAGGTGATGCCCGAGTGGGATGGCCGTGCCCGGGGCCACGAAAGGGCTCCTGAGGGGGAGCTCCACGGCTGCCAGAGGAGCGCGGCCATGCCGGAGCCCGCAGCTGTGAGGGAGGAAGAGGAGGAGGCGGCGGCGGCGGCGCGGGGGCCGCTGGGGGCGATGGCGGCCGGGCGGGCCGTGTCCCCGCCCCGCGGCGCTCTCCCACACCCGCCCGCCCTCCGCCGCCGCTGCTGCCATTGGGAGCCGAGCTGTGCCGAGCCCAGGCAGCCGCCGGTCCCGCTCCTCCGCCATCGCCATGAGCTTCTTGTTGTGAGTACCCGCGGGGTCTGGGGGGGGGTCTTTTCCTCTCGCTCTGCGCCGTCCCGTCGGGCAGGGAAGCGCAGCACATCACAGCCCGCCGAGCGGCCGCGGCCGCCGCCCGCCCTCCCGCCGCCCGC